GTTTGGTACTCGAACAAATTGCAGGAGGAAGTTGATGGCCCTGGCATTAGGGGAAGCTCTTTTTTCCATATAGATCAGGTTTTGTATGGGCACAAACAGATGCTTTCCAAAAAATGCTCTTAACAACATTACATGAATTTAGACCAACGTCTTTCTAAATTAATAAATCACATAAATACATTAAATTAAAACAAATAAATTAAATTAAAAAAGTTAAATCCGACGTACATTATCGGCTTACCTATTAATCATGTACAATTCTGTCGGTTCCATTTTTGAGCTAGCATTAACAGCCCTAATATTAACATAAAGCAAATCCAGTTAGCTGAATCTGATTTCAATCTCGTATATTACTATACGCGGTATATTAAATTTGGCAACCTCTATGTTATTATAGGTGTCGCTTCCTACTGTTCTTATTTATCGAAGTTAACTTAAATGAACCAGGCCGTCCGCGTCGTCGTGCAGCTGTATGTCAAACGTTTACCCAATGTAATTTACGTGCGCACCACCGAAACAAAGACAATTTCAGTGTCCTCACTCAAATAAGCCACATTATAAATGTCCTGCGAAACTGTTGAAGTCGGTTCTTCTTTTAGACCTTTTTCCGCCTGCGCGATGGTCGATTTACGATCCATCATTTGCTATTATAAGATAGGCAGTTTTAAATTTCCAAGAAAAAGCCTAAGACGCCTTATTCTGTACTGTATTCTTATAATATTTTTCTCCAGTTAGGACCGCGAGCGGCTTTCCCGGTATTTTCGTAGTTGCCGCACTCGGTCCGTGCTCTCGTCAGCATTAGTTGCGTCTGTATAGTATAGACATTATTTGAAATGTAAACGACGGGCAGCCGAATTTGCCGTGAATAAATGATTAGCGCATATATGCAGCTGTTTAGAAATATCAGCGGGAGCAGTAGCGGCTGAGGTCCTACAAATTTCTAGGTTTAAAAAAATCACCCTTATTGCGTTTCATCGAACCAACGTTAACCGCTACGCCTACCTCTGTTGCGTTGTCGAGCACCTACGTCCAAACGAGTAATCGTTCAATGATCATCCGCCTCAGAGGGGGGCTAGGTCAAATATATGTGAGATTTCGGTTCACACTGATGGACGACGCTGGTGTTGTCGTCTCGATCTTTTAATTCAACTTACGAATTATTATAATTTATTCTTTTGTCTTCTTTTGTGTCTCATGGACTATTGTAACGTGGTTATTTAGGTTATAGATTTGTCATTTAACTTATTGTTTTCTGGATTTATCTGTGGCACTAAAATATCAAACATACGACTTCAAGAGGCTTCTTTTTCTTAGGTCCTTCTGTAAGGCAAGTGCAAGATCTGCAGAACTACTCAGCGAAAAAGCATTATAAATTATAAAGCATTGTAGAACAACAACGGAATGCAACAATAAAGCTCTGATTATACGACGACACCGTTGTACTACAATAGAGGTGCTCTCGTTGTCTGACTGACCTGAGTGCCCAAGACGATTGGGCGCGCTGAGCATTACTACCAAACTTTCATGAACAATTAATCCATTGCATTGAGTAAGAAGACTCTGTGAATATCGTCACATTTTGCTAGAAAAAATAGTATGGATCAAAAAGTTTATTCCTTTTCATCATACAGTATCTGTTTGAAAGTTGCATTCTTTTTTTTGTGCAAAATTGAAATAGCAAAAAGAAAAAACTTCTGTTTTAAATCTTCCGACTCTAGCCCAAAATATGCTTTACTTCTTCGCTGTGACCCAACTGTCTACTGCATGCATTTGCGTCCATAAATATTTCTGTGCCTATCGTAGAACTTGAGTACCCGTTACAGACTAGTCATCATGTGTTGACCCCTTTCTCCTTACATGCGTCCTCACTGGCTGTTAGGGTCATCTTCATCTTACACTCACAAGTCTATTTCACCCCGCCTCACTAGTCTCGAGTAGAGCGGGGCTCACTACACAAGTGTCCTATCAACTCAGCTCGTACTAGTCAGCTCCAGAGAGCCAGCTGACTTGTCAGAGCCACTGCTCGCAACGCTGCTGGGCAACGGAGTCCGCTGGCCAAGCCGAACGTGACTCCCTGTGGAAGGAGATCGAAATGATGATCGTGATATCTGGCAACGCCGGGTAGTTTCAAGAAATACGGAGACAGACCACTAAAAGACGAAAAGGACTGCCTGTGGTTCTGCTAACCGGCCGGGACAGCGTTATCGGCCCAAGCGGCAAGTAGGTACGGGCTAAGCAGTAGAGCTGCGTGGCACGCCGGCGTAGCTTGAAGCAGTACGAAGGTAAAAAATGCCCTCGTGGCTTTTCTTCAACAACCACCATTGAACACAGAAATACAGGAGCTGCGGACGGTGCAGACTGTAAAAAAGTAAATAACAGCGGCGTACGCGAAAGTTCATTCTACGGGTACTAGCTGTACAAGAAAGAAGGACCCTGCTATTGCTATGCAACGACACAATCGACCTTTGTTCTGTAACCATTTTGCACAGCCAATTTCGACACGGAACTAATTCTAGCTATACCTTAGGGTCGGAAAATGATAAAGTGAACTTCTGAACCTATATCGGTGGAGCTTGACGAACGTTGTGCTACTGGCTACTAGAAAATTATTCTGCTTGAAATGAGACTAACGTTTTCGTTAGGCTTGGCTTTCGATCGAAGTCTAAAGTACCTATTTACTAATTCATTCATTCATCTATTCTGCAGCGTATATGTGCTCGACACGCGAGACAGTCTCCAAATTTTCCATTTAACAGCGTTTGTTAAAACGTACGATAGGGGAAAGTCGACGACAAAGTGAACGTCCAATCTTCTAACTATACAGAAGGCGTTCATCGATGTCGTTCTAGGCTCTCTCGGTGGCATCCTTGTAGATTTCTATAATATATCAAATACTGGGTCCGACCCTTTTTTGTTGCATCGGAACGTTGCTTTAGCTACGACTATTGACGCTAGCTTAATGCCAAGTAACATCTACAAGCCGTAATCTCTAACAAATACCGTTCAACGGATTCCTAGATAGATAATTTCTCTGGCGCAATGGATTTGCGACAGGGTACACAGTATTGAATAGGTAATACCGTTACCACCCAGGATGGGATGAAAAAGGGTCATTCGACCGTTTCAAGGCCTATCGCTCTCAGTTTAACTACATTCTATTTTCTACCTAGTATGACGATGAACAAATAGCAAACAAGTTGTTTGAATGAAATTATCATTATGTAACCGGTCTTCTTCTAGATTCGTTTCTGACATTATTGTATCCAGTATAAGAGACGTACTCCTTTTCCCTTGCAAGATCGCCGTACAAACTAATAATATAAATAGCTGTTCTGTGAAACTGAACGACGGCAACTTTGTGCCACACAGTACCGTACAACAATATTATATATATGCTACTTAATGACCATGCTAACTAAACGGGGTGTACGTACCAGCTTCTTATAGAAGTATCTTGTGTTTATATAGGATATATTGCTAAGGCACGTCATCTTTGTCGAGTCGGCTCGTAGCAATCTATCGCAATACAAAAAATGTGCAGGTAATCACTCTGTAAATGAAAAAGGAGGCGCTGTCCTTATTTCGTTTAGCACCTACCGAAATTTGTCAAGCCATTGTCAAAAGCGCTTGCGTTTTTTGTAATGCCATCTTTTACATTCTACCTCGTGCTGTTTCGTTACGCTATAGAAAAGCACGCGGCGGTGTCATATGGGTGTATTGTTTTTCTCTACTATAAGCCAGCTAGGATCCCTCAAATACGTTATTTGGCCTTCGACGTTCGTTCTCAAATATAGCAACAGATATATATGTTTTTAATATTTATGTAGTTATCTGTTTTTGTTATTGCAATGTGTGTATTCTCTTGCAGCTTGTTACCCAGCCACTAGTGGGTTTTTGTTGGCTTAAGCGAGCTTTCATACTACAAGAAAAATCGATTTAGTGATGAAAAAAAAACAATGAAAACAAAAAGCAAGATCAGGCGAATTGTTTGAAAGTCGATGTTCATTAAAGCTGAAACTGAAGACTTAAACAGTGGTACAATACGGAGATTATAATTGTCAGTAGGTCGTTTTTCGATGCGACTGTATTATAAGTGCTTTAATACGTTACGATTACCATACACCGTTGGTATAATTACTATATATTTTCAAAACGGCGCCAAGAACTCGCGTCGAAACTCTGGAAGCAGCGAGACAATGAAAATATATTGGCACTTTGTCCTAATCAATAGAGTCCCGGGTGATCTCATTTAAACGAAAAAATAAGGTATCTTCAGCATTATCCGTAGCCATTTTATCAAATGTATCTCTCGCGCCTTCTGCATACACTTGTAAATCTCTCAACAAATTCTCTCTGGGTCCCGTCACAATGCCCACTGCTTAAATAGTATTCGCCAACGACCGAATTCTACAAAAGCACCATAATTTCACACTGATTTTTTTGTTTTTGCAACAAAAAGACTACACCCATGATTAAGCCCATGGGCTTCGTTTGCATCGTTTTTTCCTCCTAACACATTCATGTACATGTTCAGTATTCAAACGAATGGACAGCAGAATCCTGTACCCTGTAATACCAATTTCGATTAGCAAATCAATTACGTTCAAAAATTAGACCAAACTTGATAATCACTTACTAGGAAAAATGGTCTTCACAGCCGCGTAACCCTGTACAACTTGAAAACTAGTCGAAGTAAACGAAGCTTCTATTATGCAGCATGGACCCAGCACAGCGCGAGCAATTGTTACTAGTTTGTTCTATCTCTTTGAGAAAACATTATGTCAGTAATAGCTCACTCTTGGAAAGGACTCTATCAGTTCTAGAGACTCATATATATAGACCCCGACCCAGTTGATTCCGGTGCTGACGCGACCAGTAACCCAATCTTAGCGCACACGGGCAACAAAACTCGCAGACAGATCAAGTAGGAAACGTTTAACAAGAAGCTTGTTTTTACCTTTTCACGTAATTAGTTTAATGGGAAATTTTTAAAAACTCACCGGAGTAGAGCTGATACAGTGGCGAGGCGGCCGCATCGGGTCGACTGAAGGGGTGTTCCTGTACGTTGGTGAGTACCGCCCTGAGGAAAAGCAAGGTCCAGCGGCCGATTGGGGTACCCCGGGCACAACACCGCCCGGAACACCCGTTACGCCAGGCACACTCATGCCGACGCCCACGCCTACACCTAGGCCCACCATCGACTTCTGTACGGCCTGCTGCATCTGCTCAAGCGCCTGTTCCAGCCTGACTGCTTCGCCCGGCAAAGGCGCAATGGCCTTATGCCTGTATCAGAACACCCTTAAAACACAAGTGCGCACAAAGCGGCACGCAGCTTCGACTGGTAGATTGCTACTCTACACACTCGCGCAGGTTTCCCCGTTTGAGTCGCACTTGAGGAACGCGTTTTGTACACTCACTAACCGTTACTGCCACTGCGATTGTCAAGAGGATAGGGGTGGTGGAAGTTAAATCTACATGAACTTCTTGCACAACACTAGACTGAGGGCGTCGTCGGAGACGTATTGTAGTCGACGCAAAAAAATAGAGGACAAGCTACGAACAACGTTACAACGCTGGCTTACAATAGTAACGACGATGGTAATTCATCGACAGAAAAATTGCATTTGCACGCCATCGCCGAATACATTTCGCTTCAAATTTATCACATTGCCGTTCCTCGTTATCGTTCGATTACTGGACCTCTGTCCGTCTGTCTTTCCTCGGTAAGCACGTACAGACTGGTGTCACCCAGCCGCTTGCGCACCGACCAGGCCACCGTTCAGGCTAACTGTCGTCAGAACGGGTAACGAACGCCACGAACACCGAATTCTTTCTACAGTTCACCAAATTTCACTGATCACTTCACTTTTTTGCGTCGTGCCGCTCGTTTTTAGCTAGAACAAGACAAAACACATACACACAGACGGACTTAAGCAATTCTACTATAAACTACGAGATCTGAACTACAAGATGTGAGTGTGATGACTTTCCTTTATCTTATAGTGACTGTTCGCCCGAGGATGAGTCTCGTAAAGTAAAGGGACTTTCTGCGACGTTGCCTCTCGATGACGGCCTCGCATCTACCATTGTCGAACTGCCATCACAAGTCTTTTTCAGCTCTTAGACAGAAGCCATCTGAGGTTTCTGATTCTGTTATGTTCCGTCGTTGTCATTGAAGTAGTCACTTTGGTGGCACAAATGAGGCGAACTCTGGATGCGATTAAAATGACGTCGTATATATGTTCAGCGTGTGGGGCACGTCGCGATTGATTAGGCCGGGGCAATGCAAAGTGCACGAATCTACTTTGTTAAATATCTAAGAAGAGACCACTAACAGCGTTCGAGCAGCCGTTGTGCCTCGCTCGCCCAGTTGTTGATTCGTTTAACTCGATTGGTTCAGACTTTTAGCTGTAGTTAGTTTTTGGCGCAACGTCACGCAACGATGCTACCTAGACGATTCCCAACTATAGCATAGTGGCCTTAAGCCTTTTAACCTAGCTGAACTCTTGACCGTTAGGCACAAGCGAATATTGTCACTCTCTGCTTTGCTAAGCTGGTCGACGCTTGTCTCGACGGCGCTGCTCGTGTACTCTTGTGCTGCTGTTGTAGCCCGCAGCTGTAAACCACCAGCAAATACCGACAGCAGCAGCAGCAGCAGCAGCAAGGCAACAGTAGGGAATTAATCGAACGCGTTGTGTGTGCATTGCTAACGAGCTCTCACGCTTCTCTAACTCGCGTTGACCAGGACATCTTCATGTCCTGTAGTCTGTCCAGACATCTTAGGGGCGGGCCTGTGATTCGAAGCCCCACCCTCTTGACGTCACGCGCAGGCTCCAAAGTGAGAAAGTGCGAGAGATAGAGTGAGAGAATGCCTGTGTGTCTGTGCGTCAATGTTAGCTCTAAGTTGAAAGAAGCCGCCAAGAACTAAGTGACTGCTCTCACAGCGCCCTCTTGCACTGCTATCGTACAACTCTAGTTGCTGCTGCTGCTACCGCCGCTCCAGGATGACTATACTACCCTACTTTGCGTGCAGTCTTCTACCACTACCACTGCTACTTCTGGACCGCGATCATCCGAGCAGCCCCCAAACAATCGAGGAGATCCATCACCCAGCAGCGGAAGAGCCTCCTAGATTTTTGCTCAGACCACCCCTGACGACCCTTTCCCTCGAATGAACTCACATACGCACACATTCACACTCACAAATGGAGAGGGAGCGGGAACCTCAGACGTTTGCCTCAACTTTCCCACTGCATTCTAGTGAACTTACCAATCATCACTACCCTCGCTCAGCGGGCTTAGACAACTATACGTAGCCCAGCACCACGCGAATGCACGCGCTCTTTCGTCCTCACCTCCTCGAACGCAAGAAGCATCTGCTTTCTGTTCTTCTTAGAACTGGCCTTCTCAAACGCGCAGTCACAGTGTTTCCTGCCACAGCAGCGAGACCGCTTAGATGTTCATCATGTTCTCTCATGGAAACCTTTAAAGGCTTTGCGTCCATGTCGTTGCATATACAAGATGGACTCCTGAACCTTGGATGGAAGGAACACTAATGCTTGCTTATGCTGTATAAACAGCCCGAACGAACAATATGCCATTCGGCAGTTTTAATGGGCCTCGTAGGTTTCATGCAGGGTGAGCCTCCTCTGAGGAGAAGATGCGTTTCTCTTTCCTACTAAGAACTACCCTCGTTAAGGTTAATTGAACAAACGCAGATTTCTCTCCCTGCACTTGGTCAACATTAAACGAAAACGATGTGATCATCAACAATATTTCTCTTTAGATCGTCAACCGCTCCATTCATCGGGGCAATCGATGGATCCAGCGGCAAGCAGGATCAGGGGCATAGACAAAAATGAAAGGCTGAAAGATAATCGAAATCAGCGAAGGACATAGCTGACTGGCTAAAATGCGCGCGAAGAGTTCACGACCATATTTTTGTCCAACGACGTCAGCCGTCCAAAAAGCTAATTTCAACGTTCTTCTATAGAAAAATAAAATAAATGAATTAACAGTTCGGTATGTAGAGTCAGTTAGTCTTCTTTGTCTAAGGGCATCTGAACCGAGCTTTTAGACAAAGTTAGATAAGTATCATCGCTTTTATAGTTACACAGGCAGCAACATGTATTGAAATGGACATACGCCCTCGTGGACGGAAGGTTCGGAGCTTGTCTTCGTTTGCCTTCTGTGTACCCAACATTTGAAGCGCTCTTATTCTAAGACAGAAATGAAAAGATTCAAAAAGTGGGCCCAGCCTGTTTCTTGCGGAAACGAGTTCGAATACACATGCAAAGTTGATTGGAATTAATGACGAAAATAAGTCCATAGCTAGTCTTCATAGGTAATTTCAAGCAGCACAAAATTGTTACTTTTTTTTCCCAGTAATTTTACTAACTAGCCATCTGTCAAAAGTTCGTTCTTTGTACTATAAGTTGTCTTTTGCATCATTATCTTTTACTAACGAAATTCTAATTTGAAGTCGGTGCTATAATAGTAAAGGCGCCAATTTTTAAAATCGATTACATTCTTAGAATGAAAAACCGGAAAATTTCGAAAAAAAATAAGGAACCTGAAAGAACCGTACTTCAGACATAACACAATAATTAAGTAAATGTAGAAATTGATGCGGCCACCCGAACTTAATTGTCGTAGCGGATAATGGAACTGATAAAAGCTAAGTTTTTTTTGACGAAAATGCTATATCACAACACGCGACATCCTTCCCACCACAGTTTTTTGGGCTGTATTTTCTTGTACTGTTTCATAAAAATCTCCAGTCGAGGAAACAGAAAGCTAAGATTAATTATATTGTAACCGCATCTCCATGATATTCAATAGCGTAGCTTGACCTCTGAGTAAAACTTTCTCGTTTTTTTTTTAGAAAAGGAAACCTGACAACCTTGTTGTATATACAATAAAAAGTGCTGCCTTATTTCTTAACCTTATAGAGGCAGAAGTCTGCCATCCATCGTGCACTCACTTAGAAATTCAAAATTTAAACACTGACTTGATTTAGATATTATAGTAACAATAAGTAGTTGGTAGAGAGAAACGAATTGTAAATTGTAAAAACTTTGCTTTTCTTACTCATAGAGACATGACTGCGCTTTATTGTTATTATCTTTTTTTTATAAAATAATAACAATTTATATATAAATCGTTTTCGAGCTATTGGATTTGCGTTATAATAAAACGCAGCGATAGCAACAAATTTGTATAGTTGAGCATTAATGCCATATTTCTACTGGGGAAATAAATCATTTAGCGAATCGACAAGGTTGGATAGTTTTTAATCTAAGCTCCATTAACAGACGAAATAATACTGACGATTATAAACTCTCTGAGTGTCATAAGCACATTTCTCGTGTCTCAGATCCTCGAACAAAGAAACAAATGGCTCTGATCATCGAAACTTTTGAGAAAAATAGATAAAACATAAATAATGTGCTTCCAAACACATGTAAAGTACTTAAGGATAATGTGCGCAAATACTAAAAGGGGAAACCCTGCCTAAAGCACGTTGTCGCCATAGACGAGACATGGATGATTCTAGCTAGGAAAAATCAGGCGGACAGTGGCGTTAAATAGGAGTAAAAGCGAGTTCGGTGGCAATGCCCAGCGGATCAGACTATCTAGAGCTAATATTCCGAGATATCTCAAATTTTTGAAAAAGTGGTGCAGCAATCGACAGCTTGAGATATGGTTAAACGGCAGCCTCGACTGTGGGAACCTACCCAATCTAGCTATAGCTCCATATTGTTCTGATTTTAGTCCGTATGATTTAGATCACTTGCACAACAGGTAACAAGCTTCTAGAGGTGTGTTACAAAATGGAGAAATTTATTAATCGTCCCAATTTAAGTTCTTCCCTTCGAAATAATTCTCATCGAATACTACCTAATCGTGCCGCCGTTCACTGCAGCCCGCAAAATGTTTTTCCAACAGTTCAATCGTCGAGATAGTTCTCAGCTGGGTTAGCGATTTTTTTATTACATCTTTTCTCGTGTCGAAACTTTTTTCTCTCAGCGTTTTCTTTAGTTTTGTAAACAGAAAAAAAATTCAGACGATTAGGTATGGTGAATACGGGGGGTTGGGGGGCGACTCACATATCATAACATGTCTTTGCAAACATTGTTGTACAAGTAGTGATGAGGTATGGGCCAATACATTGCTGTCACGGAGGGCTCGGAGTCAATTGTGCTACGGTTGTGATTTGTTAATTTTCTTGACTATACTCTTCGCCTGTTGTTAGGCCCGTTCTCGAAACGCCTAAATTGTTTGTTTACTTAGATGAAGTTTACTCAGTGCCTGTTTTTCGTAGGCATCTACAATATGCGTAGCGCATTTATGCGGATGATTCCTTTTTTCATTCACGAACTAACGCACACTCGTTGTGCTGAAAATGTTTACCATAATTATAAAAAGGCCCTCTAAAATGTATTCCTTTTTGCATGTGCTCAACAGGACATCGGCGGATGATGTGAAAAGATTGACATAATAGCACATACACCGTTACGCATAGAAACAGTAGGAGTGGAGCTCATCTATTTTTGTTTCTACATTGTAAATGTTTCATGCTCTTGTTCAAATATAGCGATATCGATAATTTTTATATACTGATGGATAAAACAGCTGGACCAGAAAATTTTTCATATACAGCTCTAGCAACCGTAACATTCGCTGCAATTGTAACGACATGTTAAATTTCTTTTTTTGTTTGAAGAATTTGTAAGAAAAACAGCTTAATGAATTGATAGAGACGCCAGATCAGAGGAAGTTAATTTAAAATATATGCCTTTTAAAGGCAAACGCGTTCAACAATTGTTGTTGTTCTTCTGAGTATGCTCAAAAATGAGGTTTCGAAGATCAGAGAAAAGTTCAAAACTGATGAAACACCCTATAATAATAATCGAGTCAATTCCATCTCTACTACCAGTATTTCATAGCAATAATATGATATTACCGCATAACCGCACTGACCAGAGTTATGAAGAATTTTGGTTCTTTTATCAAGTTACACCTGGCGTATAGAACAGGTTCCGTAAAACTAGAATAATCAATCTGAGGATATAAGCAATATGATAGTTGGTGGAAAAAAAGCATAATGTTGTTGGAGCTTCGCAAAAGTCTGAAGAGTTCGGATTCATTTCTAGTTAGGCCCATTTCGGTTAAAGCGCATTCGTTCTCACTCTCTTGCTGTGCTTGATACCTCCAGAGTGATGTGGGATCGTAACGTGTAATCCATAAACGACCAAGTTCTGATTGAACGTTTGGACAGGAGGCGACCCAGGTTGGTGGGCTGATTCACGCTTCACTGCTATTCACGCAAACTAAAGTCGGCCAGCAAGCATCTCCGTCAATGGTCCCGTCCCACACAGGTTGACTAATCTCGATTCTACTCGAAGTAGCCGCTAGCGATGTCAAAGTATCGAGGTGCTGTCACAATAGCAACACGATGGATTTACACAGATACACATGGAGACACTCGTGATTTAACGTATGCCCCTATATGTAGCTGTCGATAGAGCAAGAGCGAGCTGATCGTTACCCGACGCGATAATATATTACTTTACCCGGGCCGCGTCATTTCCGGATGCGTGAACGACGATGCACTGCTGGCGGAATCTACCCAATGATGTGCCCGATTTACCTTACAT